TATATAGCTAAGAGACGAGCCCCTCAGTCTCCTAGGCCCTCTTCTGAGGTCATCTCTTTTCTCTTAAGCACTGCTAAAGGAGCACAAAAGCTAGCCACATGGCTAGCAGAGACCCACTTCTTTAAGGATATCTGCGCTCGTTAACCTCTCCTTAGCACCTAGCTAAGACAGCCCTACTCTTCCTTTATATTTCTCTTCTCCTTCTTTCTTTCTCTTCTCTTCTTTCTTTCCCTCTCTGCAAAACTTACTGTTCAGTTATAATAGTGGTGGAGTGATAGATCATGGAGTATAGGCGAACCATTGCAGCTGGCAAATACCTAAAACCCACTCAAAGTGGACCTCCCTGTAAGACCACGGCAGCTATGGAAATACGCCAAAGAGTCTCTTATTTGTACATAAGTCTGATAGGATCTGAAACCTGAGGCTTACCCCTCGGCGGCCTATGTCCCAGTAGGGATCGGTGGGAAGCGTGCGAGTCACGAACCACGGCCGTTAAATATATACACACACACACACACACACACACCTCGTTCTTGGGGACACTAGATAGACGAATTCCCTACAATTGTTTATATCAAACAGTCAGAGGCCCAACCTCCTCACCCCTCTCTACCACCTAGCCACCAGAAGTGCGGCCTTTGACGCGTCTCAACGCGTATGTCGCGTAAAGGCCCTGGTACAGATGGCCCTCTACAGACAGCCCTACTGGAATCCACGTCCGCAGCCACGACAAGAGCTTCTGAAGGACAGAAGATCTTCAGCCCTATAGCTGCATTCCTCGATAAACACCGCAGCCAAACCACCGGCCTGGCCCCTCACCTACTGAGAGCCCTCACCGCTCTAAGCGATGACCTCGCCTCAGTAGCCCAACGACATTTTAGCGCCTATATCAGCGGTATCTCGACGACCTCCATTCTACCTGCCCTGTCCCCTTCCCCTTCCCCTACTCCAAATTTCTTACCCCCTTCACCCCCTCCCTCACGTCCCCTCTCAGGTCTTGAACAGTCGACTTATGCGACTATTACCCAATATGCCCCGGTCAAATCAACTCCTACTACTCACTCTAAAGCCCATGTTAAAAAGCCTATGCCTCTGGTGAAACAACCCCTTCCTGACAACCAGCTCTTCGTACGCCTCCCAGCTGACCATGCAGCTAGAAAAATGGAAGCCTACGCTATCTACTCTAGCCTACAGTCTCAACTAAACTTAAACAGTTCAGCACTAAAAGAAGTTCAAACTATAAAGACTGGTTTTGCACTATGTCCCTCATCTCCAGAAGCCATCTTAACCCTTGAGACCCAAAAAGAGATTATCTCTGCATTCTTTGTGAACTGCCAGATAGAACGCAGCTCCGGATGGGTCTCGTACCAAGTCACCAATGTGCCAAGGAAAGTTGGCTAAATCTTGGACGGTCAATACTCTCTAATCCCTATCAATCCTATACTACTATCCTCAGAAATCAGTGAAACTACAGGACTCAAGCCTATATCTATCAGTGAGACCGCTACAAGTGCCGCCAACCCTAATACTCTTTCCTTAAGCTGGTTTGTCAACTTCTCAGAAGATACGAAATCACCACTGCCTATCCAGCTACGCCTTTTTAACACTATTATTAATGCTTGTCACCTCTCTAAGAGAACAACAGTTATTCAATGCACATAATGCTGGAAATAGCATAATGCACGATCCTGTGCCTGCCCCTCTTGATGCTAGCTCTGCGGCTCCTCAGAGTATACTGAATAGGGACATGTTAACCGCTGCATAGCCCTGGAGCCTCATCAGTGTCCTCCTAGATACATACACTGCTATAGACTATATCCTGCTGATTTCCCAGAATGCCTCCTGCGCCCTAAAGGCAACTCTAAATATACTAAAGCTTAATAAGCAGAGATCTGGAAATCCTGTGCTATTAACCTTGTAAAAGCTTGAACTAAAGAAGGATGTAGCACTCAGCTCTCCATTGGCACATAAGAAACACCTATGGCACTAGACGAGATGCTAACTTAGCCTCCAACCCATGAGATTATCTCTCCTTTCCATTCAGTAACCCCTCCACCTCGCGCCCCAACTAAAGATCCTCCAATTACAGCTCGCGCAGTCCGCTTTATAACCTCTTAATCACAAAATTGGTTCGCCTCCCTTCTTGAACGGGAGCTATGATCTATTACTATCTAACTTAAAAGGCGCCTCTTAAAATCCTACAGCTAAATGTAGGGCACGTGCCAGATGCATATGAAATAGCTCTCGTATTAGCATATACAAGCGATATTGATATTATCCTAATCCAAGAACTATATATATTCAAAGATCTTAGCCAATAGATCACTAAAAAACACCCATCATATGAATGCTTCTCCCTAACTGACAGTTAGGTGATAAGTGGCCGACCACAAGTCCTTACCTATATTTGAAAGAAGAAGGGCATTTGGACCTCCTAGCTGCGCCCCTTCATAACTAACACTAAAGAGGCCTCGGATCTCCTATTCCTATAGATTTTTTTGCCCACAGGAAAGTCCACTCTGATAGTTAATATCTATAATGCCCCAGCAGGCTCCATCAGAGTAGGCGAAGCCGCGAAAGCTCTTACAACCCTGCCAGAGGCATATTTCCCTCAAGCAATGATACTCGCAGGCGATCTCAACCTACTACATAACAGATGGCAGCCCTTACTACATCGCAGCACCACACCTTCTGCAGAGCCATTCATTAACTGGCTAGACCTCCAGGGTCTAGTACTCATCTCTGACATAGACTGTCCCACACATGAAAGGGGTAACGTGTTAGACCTCAGTTTTGCCTCAAGCCCTCTGGCACTCGCAGGAGCTAAAACTAGCATAGCGAGCCACTTAGATGCAACCTCAGATCATCAACTACTAATCACCACTGTACCATGGGATCAGAGATACAAGGAAACAGCTCAGAAACTAAGATTTGACACACTAGACTACACCTCCTTCCTCTCACTCCTCGCCTCTAATCTCGCTGGCACCGAGAGCTCAGCCGCAACAGAAGAAGATCTTGATGCCCTTGCTAAAAAACTGACATCTATAATTCAAGGAGCATATAGAGGCTCTGCTAAGAGGACCATAACACAAGGTATAGAATAACTATAGTAGAATGAAGACTGCAAGAAAGCTTTACACAATTACTGCTTAGGCCTCTGCTCAAAGACAGACTTCCGCAGGATAACTAGATGGTCTCAACGACAATTTTGACGAGATAAGCTCTCTATGGTAATACAAATGAAGGATGTCTTTGATATAAGTAAATAGCATAAGTCTACAGGCACCTTCCAAAGCCCTCTACTGAAGGATCCACTGAGACCCAACAGCTTCCCAGCAGTTACTATACATGAGAAACGAGACGTACTAGTCTGTAATCTTCTCCAAAACTTGGCTGAGGCAGGAGACATACCTCTAGACTCCCCAGCAGTCCCTACCACTAGTCTCTACTTCCCAGATATAACAATGGCACAGGTGGAGGAGTCAGTACTTCAGGCAGGAAACATAGCCCCTAGCTCAGACAAAATCCCAACCTGTATACTTAAAGTGGCATGGCCTCTGATTAAGGACAAGGTACTAATGTTATATTAAGGGTGCCTAAAGATTGGTTATTACCTGAAATGCTTTCGACATGCAATCTTAGTAATTATCTAGAAATTAAAAAAGACTGATTGGTCCTCACCTAGATCATACAGACTAATCGCTCTCCTATTAGTTCTTGGTAAAGGACTTGAGCGCTTGGTGGCATAGAATATGGCATGAATCTCTATATACCATAAAGTATTAGCAAGGCAATAGTTTGGGGCTCTCCCACTAAGATCTGCAAATGATCTAATCACATGCCTAATACATAATATTGATCAAGCACTAAATCAAGGCATAACTGCCTCACTTCTTACCCTAGATGTCAAGGGCGCTTTTGATGCCGTGCTTCCTGGCAGACTCATCCGCAGATTATGTGAGCAGGGCTGGCCCACTAATCTTGTTCTCTGGATTGCCTCCTTTGCTACTGGGCGATCAGTCCAGATCCAACTTGATAGAGAGATTGGCCCCTCAATAGACATTGCCTATGGTCTTCCATAAGGATCCCTAGTATCTAGCATTCTTTTCATGCTCTACATAGCGTCCCTATTCTGTCTAGGAAACCCAAGGAACAGATTTAATTATATAGATGATGTAGCTAACCTGGCAATCTTAATATCTCTTGCTACTAACTGTAAAGTATTATCAGACTCACTATAAGAAGCCCTAAACTAGGGCGCTGCAGAGGGCATTACATTTGCACCAGATAAATATGAGCTTCTTTACTTCTCCCGACATAAAGCAGACCAGGACTCAACCTACACACCTTCAGTAAAAGCTGGATCTATCATAATCTCAGAAAATACTAAATAGCTATATCTACATTGACTAGGAATCCTCTTTAATAAAAAGCTAACATTTAAATAGCACGTTGATGAAACAGCAGCTAAAGCCCTTATTGTGGCCAATGCTCTTCGCTCTCTAGAAAATACTATCTGTGGAGTTAAATCTCATTTACTACAGCAGGCTGTATTAGCCTGTGTACTCTATAAAGTATACTATGGCGTAGAAACCTAGTGGCCAGGACGTACTCGCCCTGGGCCTTCTCAAATTTCAAATTAAGTTAGAGAACATCTTAAAAAACTAACTAAAGTAATACTAGCAGGCGCAAGAGCAGTCCTTCCAGTTTTCCACACAACCCCAATATCTGTTCTATACCGAGAGTCTAGATTCTCTCCGCCAGAAATTGAACTAGATTAAATAGCCCTCCAAACATCGGTCTGCCTATGGCGTCTTAATCTATACCACCCACTCCGAAGACGCGCAGAACAGATAGCTAGAGATGGCCGACAAACCAGTCGATTTGCCCACCAAGTGCTGGCGCTTCTCAACTCTGAACAAATAAACCCTCTACAACATGCTCCCTAGTACCCTCATGAGTCACGCAAGAATGCCCTAGCCTAAATAGGAGCTCCCATGGGACGCACTAAGGAACAGGTAGCGGCTGATTTCACAGCTTTTCAATGCATCATCCCTAGCTTGGATATTGTAATCTTCTCAGATGGATCTAGGCTGATAGATGGACGTGCAGGGGGTAGCTATATTGAATTTCAAGCACACCATTAGTTTCTCCGCTCCTTACTCTTATACAGACATGGGAAAGAGGTCTTTAACATAGAAGTAGAAGCTACCCTAGCTGGTGCTCAAGCAGCAATAACATACCCAACAGCTCAATTTGCTACTAACCTATGGATCTGCCTTGACAACCTGGAAGTTGTCACGCGCCTCCTATCCCCCTCTATAGGATCCTCCCAAGAGGTCTTTGAATCCTTCCGCACCCTTACAGCCACCTGGCCACTACGCGAAAGGCTTCCACACACTAAAAGTGGATCAATCCAAATCCGATGGGTCCCTGGACACGCTAAAATCCCTGAGAACGAAGCGGCTGATCTCGCTGCCAAAGAGGGAGCTGCCTCAACCCCTCCTGCTCCTCACAAATCCTTATACGCCTCGCTAAAGAGACACGCCAAGACTCAATCCCTATCCGCTGCTCAGTCACAATGGGAGAAGGTGGCACCACAGAGTTATTAAGATCTAGAAATAACTACTTCTCCTAAGCGCCCTGGGGAGCTTCAACTCAACCAACTTGACCTTGGCCGTATTATTGCGGCCCGTACTGGTCATGGAGACTTTGCAGACTACCATGAACGCTTTAATCATGATAATGCTTATCTTCTCTATTAGTATAGAGCACGAAAAGCACCTCTACATTTCTTCTTCTGCTATATAGCTAAGAGACGAGCTCCTTGTCCACCTAGACCCCCTTCTAAAGTTATCTCTTTTCTTTTAGGTACTGCGAAAGGAACACGAAAACTAGTCTCATGGCTAGCAGAGACCTATTTCTTTAAGGATATCTGTCCTCGCCAATCTCTCCTTAGCATCTAGCTAAGTCAGCCCTACTTCCCCTTTATATCTCTCTTTTCCTTCGTTCTTTCTTTCTTTCTTTCCTTCTTTCCTTCTTCCCTTTTTCTTTTCAAACTCACTGCTTAAGTATGATGGTGGTAGAATGATGGGTCATGGAGCATAGATGGACCATTGCAGCTAGCAAATACCCAAAACCCACTAGAAAGTGGATCTCCCTTTAAGACCACGGCAGCTATAGAAATGCGCCAAAGAGTCTCTTATTTGTATATAAATCTGATAGGACCTGAAGCCCAAGGCTTACCCCTCGGCGGCCTATGTCCCAGTAGGGATCGGTGGGAAGCGTGCAAGTCACGAACCACGGCCGTTAAATATACACACACACACACACACACACCTCGTTCTTGGGGACAAGTCACAATATTAGGAATCAAGATATCTTCATATTGTCAGGCTCATTAGGCCGCTTCGTGTTCGCGCCTTACTACCGTCTATGCTTCGTGATACGGACCGTAGTTAAACCAACAGTATGCGTTGCATGCGTAGGAAATATTGCCAATAAGATTCTGTTGTTTTCACAATATTCAATAAATCTCATATTGACGTGAGAATTGTGACCATCAAGAATCAGTAGGCGCCATCCCCGGCTTGCTTGAGATCTTGTTAATTTGATTTGGCTGAAGATTATACTGCTCAATCTTGCAATTTATAAGCTCAAAATAGGAAGGATAACTCCAGGCGCAATATGCTCTTTTTCGGTTACGGTCAATGCCTGTAGAATAGCGAGAGATCAACGCATTTGGATGCTTGTTTAACCAGCGAGAAGCCCAGTTCTTTCCAGGCTTTCTACCAGTTATCTCATGCGCAAATTTTACAATCATATAGGGCGTAGGAGGCAGGCCTTTCTCGCAGAGCATTTCTATCCATTGTATAAGCTTTTTAGATTGGTAGTCGTTGAGTAATCGTTGATTATCGTAATGCGCCTCCTTCGAGCCCGTAAGGCCTCGGTATCTTCTTGAGAGCAAGTTCGATCAACACCATATATTTTTGCGATTAAAGTGAAATTAATCTGTTTGCCTTCTCCGAAGGAATTCAAATAATCAACTGCATTTTCGATTGCACCCATTTCGACTGATTTATCGCGCTTTGAAATCCGTGTTGTTTTTCGCGTTTTGACGCGATACCGTGCACGAGACGGTGAAGCACTGTAATATTTAACTACGTAGTAGTAGTAACTACTTGTCCCCGTCGCTTCCCCCCTGTTCGCTCAAGGGCGGGCAGCAGGATTAGACCATGCATGACCCAATTTCTTTCTGCATTCTTTGTAGCACATGTGATTAGCTCATTTATCCATGTCTGGTTTAATTCCCAAGAGTACAACCAGGCTTAACTATAAACTGCAAGCTTCGCAATAGTTTCAACTAGCACGGCCTCGTCACTATTTGCCGTCTATTAACACTTATGGCCTCTGGACAAATGAACTGCGCTCCACCAACCAAGTTCGATAGTCCATCAACCCAGGAAATTCCTTTCTGCACTGAACTACATCCCCGCCATATCCGTTCTCTTCAAACCACCGAAACATGTCTCCCACAGTGTCCTTCTTGAAGAACTTCACCGCAGACCCGATTGGACACGGCGCCATGGGCATACTGAAACCTAGCACCTCCTGAAAAATAACACCCGCTTCTGGCTGGGTCAGCTCGTCCCCGACCAAAGTCATCGCCACATTGCGATATTTATCAGGATGAATAAACGCTTGAGCCGCTACATAGCCGATATCTTTTGTGGAGATGAGTTGAAGAGCTTTGTTCGGGCCCATCTGCTCCCACATCCGGGCAAAGCCCTTTCCGTGAATATCGGCCGTCATATTCTCAAAGAAGGTGACTGGTCGGAGAATTGAGTAGGTCATACCTTGCGGGCTAGTAGCGGCCATTTTCTGCAGATGCTTCTCAATGTTGAACTTAGCAGCGAAGTTCTTGACGAAGGTGGGATCTATTTCTGATTTCTCTGTTCCACCACGATCGCCGGAGGCGTAGACAAAATGCTGAACGCCGCGGGCGACAGAGGCTGCCACCAAAGCTTTGCCCTGCTTTTCTTCCTCTGGAGAGTTGATCTGGACCCCAAAAACACCCCACACTGGATTGCCGTTAACAGTGGCCTGGTCAAAGATTGAGTCCGGATCGGCCAGGTCGCCGGCGACAACGCATACGTTAGGTCTGCGAGCCAGGGCCTGTGCGCTGCGGGAGGTAGTGTCGCGCGTGACGGCAATGATGCTCAATATTTTGTCACTGTCGTCTGCGGCGAGGAGGGCATCAATGACGGCAGAGCCCTGCTTTCCTGTTGCGCCAGTGATAAGGATTGTCCTAGGAGTTGGTGTGGCCATTGTTGGGCCTGTGAAATTTGATGCGTATTATGTTGTAGGTTCCAGCGGGATTAACTGACAAGTCAATGGTTGAGGTGATAGTAATGATTGATAAATAATAGAATGTATTCTTTTAGGCTTGGTCTGTGACTGTGCTGACCAAGTCCACAGAATATCCATCGACCGCTGTCCATATTGTGACCTTTATATGGGTTTAACGGCCCCAATTGCGCATACAATTATTAGAACAACCTGATCGGCACAATTAAACAAGCCGTGACGGATTCGAGCACGGGAAGTGCTGAAGGAGAGAACTGAATCGGCCGTAGCGACTAGATTCATGGTCGGGAGCGGGGGAATGGATGAACCGCAGTGTCTACTACGGCTGACCCGTGGTGATTTTGTTAGTACGATTTTCTTACAGGGTTTAGATGCCAATGGATTCTGCCCATCAATTTTTCTTACTAAGCTAATATTTTGTATGGCCACCTGCTGCATCTATTACAGCCTGACATCTTGCCTGCATGGAATCAATCAAATCCTTTAGAAACTGCTCTGGCAGTACATCCCAAGAAGCCCGTACAACCTCACGTAATTGATCATAAGAAAGAGTTTCCTCTTCCGGATACTGCCCCTGAATCCAATCCTTCATCCAGTCACATAAAGCTTCAATTGGATTAAGATCTGGGGAGAATGCAGGCCAAAAGATAGGATAGATATCCCGAGTTTGAAGCTCCTCAATCGCATCCTTATTTGCATGTCCTAATCCGCCATCCTGCATAAGCTATAGAAATGTAGATTGCTGTCGATTGAAGCAAATATAGCCATCCATCCCCGTTTCTGAGAGTGAGCAACACGTAAACAAGTCTCCTCTAATTCTTCACCAGCTTTCCTAGTCACCCAGGTTCTTGTATGGAACCCCGGAGTAACCCATGTCTCATCAGTCCAAAGGCTTCGGTTCCACTGTTCAATTATCCAATTTATATGCTCAAGAGCCCAATCAAGACGTACGCGTTTATGTTGATCTGACAGAGGAGGCTTAGCTAGAGCCTTACAACGCGTATATCCTCGTTTTTTGAGTGCTCGACTTAGAGCAGTTGTTCCAACAGGAAGCTCAAACTGTTATATGACCTTATAATAAGGCATACGACGCGTACTTTTTGAAGAGCTAATCCATTCAATAATCTTATCAACACCAGCCTCGGATAGTTTCGGAATCTGGCCACGGGCTTTTTTAAAGTTGCTTGCTGATTTTGACATATATATTGAACCTGGCGATAGCTAATTTGAAGCTGTGAAGAGATTTGTGAATAGGTAAGCCCAGCATCTCGTAGTGTTAAAACCTGAATACGGTCATCTCTTCTTGTAAGGCGCGTTGAATTGTGATTTGCTTCCCTAGCAGTAGCTAGACTTGTAGAAGGGGGGTCAGGCTCTGGGTTGATGGCCATATTGATGGATTAGAGAGAGGATAGCTTTCCTAGAGCATATAAACTATATAACTGTCGGTTTATCTACGTCTAGGTCGCTAGCACTAGTCACGTAGAACAGCTATTCCGACAAGCTGACGAGCCTAATCAATATGGTATAGAATTCCTGATATTGATGACTGCCCCCTAAGAGTAAGGGAGACGGGGGATAGCTAGCTACATATAAACGCTATCAGGAGGGGTAAATATTGGGCTGAAATCTAGGTGCCCAGATATATGCCTAAAGGTGCCTTTTAGACCTGTAAGATTGAACAGTCGATCTTTCTGCCTCGTTTGAAAGCCGGATTATCTGACAATAGTTAGGTAGCAAAAGTCAATTAAAATATGCTTTGATCTGATCTCATCTTGCCATCCTTCATTTGCGCTTTTCGATTATTCACTACATCTATTCTTCGACAGCTTTCGGTGCCGACAATATCATAATGATGTCCTTCTCTCAGATTCAGCGCACCTGCTCTGACACAAGACAGTGTAACTACGGCGGACTATACCGACATTTCGAAAAACGTTTTTTTTCTCCGAGTTAGTTTACCGCCTTTATGACCGCCTTCTTCTATCATTCACGCTGACATAACCTCCTCTGATTGGTCAGAACCACCATCAAGGTCGTGGGTGTTTTCAGTTTTCTCAACAGCTATCAAGACCTTTTTTGTAACAACCAGCAGACTTTGGAGTCTCGCTATTCTAAGAAGTGCTCCCGTGATGTCTCAAGTTAGGTTTTTACACCAGGTGAAGGTTTATATGTTCGAGGATGCTATCGGTTCCCTCAAACCACACCTCAACTGTCGCAGCTATTCAGAGAAGGGAGATCTGATATGAGCCGTATGCCTATAAAGATAGCAGATGCTCCAAGACAGCAGAATAAAGGTTTTAGTACATTGCTATTCCATACCCTAGCTTGTGTTCTTAGCCTTCAGTGATCGCTCTCGAACGTAATTATACATATCCCTCTGTCCATTAAGATCGGTAGCCAGGGATTACCTGGCAATACCTGCCTCTGAAGTTGCTGTTGGGAGGAAGTTTAGCGCAGCAAGGGATCTCTTAGGTATTCAAAGGCATTCGCTGAAGGGGGATACTATAAGAATGCTGATGTTGATTCGTGATGGGTTTAAGCGGTAGTGGTTAAGGGCAGCGTGGGTACTTCAGCATATTCTACTCCATACAGATAATCTTTATTTCAGCCTGGTGATACATGATGTACATGTATTTAACGTTGTATTAGCAAGGCAGTGTACTAATAGAGATGCTACTATATATTCGCTAGAAAATAGTTGAGGAATAGAGTAAATTTCATTGCCGATTGACGATATCGTCAATCGGCAATCGTCTAATTAGTGTCTGCCGATATCGTATCGTCTAATGATATTGACGATACGATATCGGCATATCGGCATTATCGTCAACAGCCCTAAAGGAATATCCAGATTAGGCACTAACAGCGAGACGATGCAGGTTGATGTGAGATTGACTTGATCTGACCGAGTCACGTGGTTAGTGTTGTTTCTAAGGCAGCGATTTGTAACATTCCGCAAGCTTAGAGTCCTGAATTTCACCTTCCTGGTGAGACAACGAGACAGCCTCAAGATATTAGGTAGTTGATGTTTGTGCGATCCTCGGACCTTGAGGCTATCTTAGGGTGTCGGAAAATTACAAATTTTTAGTGTCAAGTAAACTTTGACATTCACCCTCCTTGTTATGTCAACATTGACAATACCGAGAAGATAGAATGACTGTAATTTATCAGCCAATCAAGTAAAACTATGACGGCTATGACCAATAGGGAAAGCTACGGACTGATTATAAATTACTAGCGTGTAAAGTGACCCACTGCAATTGACAAGGAAATTTGTCATTGACAAAAATTTAGTGTCGCGTCAACAGACCCACTTGACATGACAAATCCCCAGGATATCTTACTTTGCTGCTACTAAAACTATGTAGCGCCATAGCCACGAAGCCCGGAGATAGGAGTGGCCGATCTCTAAACCCCGTTCTGAGACAACTTCTTATGTAAAGCGGTACCCCATAGTTATAGGGACTCTGGCAATCAGAATGTTTGGTCTCTCTGCATTTTGTTATGGCATTTGACAATAGTCATGGAGTCGTTTCAAAAGAATTTCTCTGTTGAAAACATTCCGAATCTGACTGGCAAGGTTGTCATAGTCACCGGGTGAGAATCATTGACATTATAGCAGACTTGATACAGACTGACACAAAATCTGTCCCCCTAGTGGTGCCACGGGAATTGGTAAAGAGGCGGTAAAGCAGCTACTAAAGCACAATGCCAAAGTATATGTTGCTTCTCGATCGAAAGGAAAATTCGAGCAACTCTGCAATCACCTTGAGTCGATCGACCCGCATATGACAGCAGGTCTGCACTTCCTTGAGCTGAATTTGTCAGATGCAAGGAGCTGTATCTCTGCTGCAAAGCAGTTCTCCGAGCTCGAAGAAAGACTTGATGTTCTTATTGCAAATGCTGCATTGTCTGTTGTCGTGAGTCACCTCCCTGCGGGCACTAAATTAATTGCTGACCAGACATAGCCCGAGACCTTGTCAAGTGATGGAATCGAGATACAATTTGGTGTATGTACTATACAACCTCTTAGTGCATGTCATCTCGCTGACAATATTGCAGACAAACGTAAGGGTTTACACATATATCTGCATGTATGACCTCAATAGATGCTTACAGAGTTGGAGATTCTGTAGTACTTCGGCCATTTTGTCTTCACCCACAACCTTCTGGTATGGCATTGGGATATTGCTTCTTGTTTTCCAAGCGTGCAATCTGCTAATCCACTGTCAGGACCTTATCCAACGTACTTCCGAGCAATACGACGAGGCGAGGATTGTCGTTGTTGCATCTCATGCTCACGTCATGTATAAACCTGTTCAGCCGGACAAGATTGATTTTGAAGGCTTGAGAACGGAGGGATCAAAGACAATACAGAGTCTTGCCGAGGTTCAAGCTAGCTTGCAGAGGTCAGTTTTAGTTCCATAATGTAGATATTCCCACTGTTGCTCTCAATAATGCCTACGTCTCTGGAAGTAAAGAGCAAAGACTAAAGTTTGGCAGATACGCACGTTCAAAGCTAGCAAATATATTATTTGCCCGGCATCTCCATACTCACTTCCAGGAAACAGGTTACACCAACATTTTAGTCAACTGCCTCAACCCAGGTATGTGACTAAGATACACCAGGATAACCGCATGCTAATAAGTCTTTCGCACAGGTACAGTCGGCGCTGCTCCAGGAACCGACTCAGCTGCGCTACCGCCAGTTTTCAAATTCCTCAACTCTTCGATTGTCAGACTGATGAGCATACCTCCAGAAGACGGCGCTCTGACAATACTTTTACTAGCTACAGACCCCGAGATTAAGGACAAGTCATTGAGTGGTCGGTACTTTGACGTTGGGCCGCTTGCTGGAAAGTTTTATTATGGCTATAGTTGGGATGCCACGGATTCGAAATTGTCTGACCTTGCAAAGGATAAAAAGCTTTCCGAAAGGCTATGGGATTGGAGCGTACGAACGCAGGCTTCAATTGATACTACAAGTTAGGCTGTCAGCTAAGAACAAGAACCTCGCTAGGGTTACAGAAAATATTTCCTCAATAGTCAACGGTGCTATCAGGACCCTGCCAACGATTGTCGATCTCTAGGAGTCCTGCCCTCATTAACCATGAATGAAGAATTTGAAAGACAGCCAATTTCCTGAATCTCATAGCCAAACTGTTGGAATTCATGATGGACACCGAATGTTTACCCGAAATTCCCAAATTGGTTCGGGCTCTAGCTAGTTTCTCCGGATCTTTCTGTATGCGCCGAACTAACCTCAAAACATGTCTCAATGCGTGGACATTAAAGATAGTGACAGAAGCGTCAAGTCGTCGGAAGTTTCTCGAAACAGGAACACACGCTAATGTGAAATTGCGTAAACCAAGGACAGAGTCTACCTGCAATAGCTGGAAATGAAAATGCATGTTTTTCGACTCTGAAGATCTCTTTCCCGAGTCCATTTCCGGTTGCTACGGTACCCGGACTGTTGGCTGGCTGAAAGAGTACTCTGTAGACCCCTGCCACCTGTCAGCCCGCCATTGTCAATTTTCCAATCCTAACACCGGGGTTGCCTACTTTTGCTTGTGATTGTGAATTATATTGCAGCACAGAGAGCTTAGTCTCCCGCTTGACTCAGTTCTACATATAAGAATGCAAGCCACTGTTCTAATTGACGTACCAGAGTTTGGGATGGATGAGGGGGGAAGTATGACTTGAAAATTGGACCTGTCCCATACAGACTTGCAGCTCGTGTTAATCGATCAATATTCATTTCACCAGCCAGCCATGAACCCCCCCTTCTACTTTTCTCCCCTAGAAAATTAGAGAGACGGATGCGCTGCTCTCTTGGTGCTGCGAGACTCCTTCTTGTCATGTTAGAGGAAGGTTATCTGCAAAGGAAAATGCTCCCATATAAAAGGATGAGTCTCTTAGAGGGATTTGAACTTCCTTCTGGTATCAAGAGTACAAGTGGAATTGTCTAGGCTGCTCGAGCTATGAACTCTTTTCGCACAAATGAAGCTATCTCCGCACTTGTGCCTCGTGTTGGGTACTGTGGTTGCACTTCCCCTGAATCCTACACCATCCGACTGCAGCTGCTTGGCAGATGCAGTATCTGTATTCAGTGCTGATTCTTTAGCTCCTGCTTTTTGCTCTCAGTTTCGTTGGTGTTTCAACAGTGGTGGTGTCAACTACAGTCACAACTCCAGTGGCAACCATTGTCGTTGTCGAGACCGTACCAGTTCCATCCACCATCATGGAGATGTTTGTGGACTTTGAGAGCACTGTAAGCTTGAACCCTGCTTTTGCGCTGACAGTAGTATGAAGAATATTTGTTACAGGCATGGAGTTTAGTTTCCCATTTAATATTTAGAATCTTTAGCACTAGTGATTTTTTTTAGTTCATATCATATTATAGTTGCATCTTCTTTTTAGAGGCCATCAGCCTTATACAGGAGCATCCAGTGACCCCGAACGGGAACGTGTTGGATTGTACGTAACAATCTCAAGCGGTATATTCTCAACGTATCAAATTATGTATGCAAACGTATGGAATCCTTGATTCTTCTTGTCTCCTAAGTACAGTCAAAGTGGGAGATTGTCTCTCAGCTCCTATTCGGTGGATTCCTCTCCCAAGTGTGCGGCTCTCTCTGATTGGCTAATAAATGTCATCTGTCTGATTGGCTGGATCAGCTTAGCTAATCAAACAGAACGTGTAACTAACGTAATTCCCAAGCGAACCGCCCACCCAAGCGACCCGCCCACCTCCCCGAAAAATAACTCTCTATATTGATTTCAAATCACAATTTCTTAATCACATACAAATTATATACAAAAAATTAATTAGTAGTACGATTAGGACATCGATTAATTTTATGTCCTTCAACACCACAACCACTGCAGCGAAATTGGCGGCGTACGACTGCTTGAGAAGCTGGGAGCTCCGGCTCAACTGGAGCAGCCGTAACAGCTTGAGATGCCTCAACCTGACCTTGTACAAGCGCTTGAGCTTCTTCACTAGTAATCCCATGCTCAATAGATATCTGTTTCTTAGATTTTTGGCGTTTTTGCTTCTCTTTTTCATTCGCAGCTCGTAAATCATGGTTTTCTTTCCGTACGAGTAAAGTATCATTCGCTAGTATTTCGTAGGCTTTTGACAACCGTATAACTGCCTGGTTGATTTCTTGATTCTGATTTCCTGTGCGCTCATTTATATGTTTATTGATTGTAGTTGACTGGCGTACAAATTGGCGTATATTTTGAGGTGTTTGTAAGCAGGATGATGCTGTATTGCTTGATCGACTTGGAGGGGGGGTTGGAGTCTTCAATTGAATATTAAGATATTGAAGAACTCGATCTGGATTGAAAGGCACTAATCCAGTGGCTTCGAAGCTATTCTGAATAGATTGAGCTTTATATGCCACTGTACGAGCCTGTGGAAATGCTGTTAAAAAGTCCATTTTGTCGATATGATTGAATCCAAGCCTCATTCGTTGCTCAACAACCTGCCCATAATACCGTTTTAAAACTGCAAAACAGCCAACATCAAGAGGCTGTAATAGATGCGAAGAATGAGGTGGCATGCAGATTGGAATAATATTATTCTCAGTGCATGTACGATCAAATTCTGGAGTCAAATGGCTTCCATGGCCATCAAGAATCAACATTCGGTATTTTCCCATTGTACGATCATTAATATTAGGAATAAAATGGGTTTTAAGCCATTCTAATCCTATTTGATCTGTTGTCCAACCATTATCGCTAATATTGATTCTCCAATCATCTGGAAGATCCTCAAACCAACCTAATCGTACGTTTTTCTTTGCTTTGAAAATAATGTACGAAGGTAACGCCCAACCAGTTGAATTTGTTGCTTCAATTGCAGTCACCCATTCTCGATTTCCAGGCTGTAAAAGCTTTGGCTGAGCATATCGATCGCTTCCAGTAATAACCTTCGCAGATGCACAGAGTCCCATAGCAAAGCCAGTCTCATCAAAGTTATAGATATCTTCTGGTAAGATTCCATACTCAGATATAGCAGCTCGTACGCGGTCAAAATGTTCTTGAATTATCTTTGGATCTTCACATTTGGCACGTTCATAGTTATATTTCCTTGCGAATTTGGAATCAATCTCCGGACGGCGTTTAATCAGATTGGTCACCCAGTTTTTTCCAACTTGTGATTTTCCATGTTGTTGTAGAAGATAATTGACCATTTCTCGTACAAGAGAATGTCGGGGAGGTAATCCACGTCGATCTAAATCAAGAACCCATTTGACAAGTGAATCCTCCTCAGATTGAGTCAATTTATGGTGGTTGGCGCGCTTTTCACCTTTATATTCAATGCCTTTGAGTCGATCTCGGAGAGTCGTACAAGGAATATCATAAATCCTTGTAGCTTCACGAATATTGGAAATTCTTCCATTTTTCAAATCAGAAATAGCTAACTGGATCTTTCCCTCTATCTGAGCAGATTTTAAGGGATCTTTCTTGCGAATTGGTGGCATTTTGACGCGTTGAAATATGAGAAATCAATATAGAGAGTTATTTTTCGGGGAGGTGGGCGGGTCGCTTGGGTGGGCGGTTCGCTTGGGAATTACGTTACGAGTGCTTAAGCTTCCTCTCTGGTAATTCCTTGCTCATGAGATATTTGCTGCTTAGATCTTTGACATTTTTTCTTATGTGCAGCCCGTAGATCATGGAATCCCTTCTGTGCAATTGTAAGCTTATTAATACTTATCTCATAAGCCTTTGACGCCCGTGTTAACACTTCATCAATAGCCTCAGATGAACTTCTTGTATGCCGGCTTATTCGCTTCTTAATTGTAGTCATCTAGCGCTTGAATTGAAGTGGATTTTGAGAGGTTTGTAAGCAGGATGATTGTGTATCACTTGATCGACTTGGGGGTGGGGGGGGTGGGTGTTGGAGTCTTCAATCGAACAGTAAGCTGTTGATAAACTCGATCTGGATTGAATGGTACTAAACCAGTTGCTGCAAAGCTATTCCGAACAGTTTGAGCTTTATATGCCATCGTACGAGCTGCTGGAAATGCAGTGAGAAAGTCGATTTTGTCAGTATGATTGAATCCAAGCCTCATTTGCTGCTCAACAAGCTGTCCATAATGTCGCTTTAAAATAGCAAAATAGCTAACATCAAGAGGCTGTAAAAGATGTGAGGAATGAGGAGGCATAAAGACTGGAATAATATTATTCTCAGTGCATGTACGGTTAAATTCAGCAGTTAAATGGCTTCCATGACCATCAAGAATCAACATCCGATATTTTCCCAATGTACGGTTATTAATAAGAGGAATAAAATGAGTTTTAAGCCATTGTAATTTAATCTTATCCGTTGTCCATCCATTATCACTGATATTGATTCTCCAGTCATCTGGAAGATTTTCAAACCAGCCTAATCGAGTGTATTTCTTTGCCTTAAAAATAATATATGAAGGCAAGGCCCATCCAATTGAATTAACTGCCTCAATTGCAGTTACCCATTCTCGATTACCAGGCTGTAATAGCTTTGGCCGAGCATATCGATCACTTTTTGTTATGACCTTTGCGTAGCGCAGAGTTCCATTGCAAAGCCAGTCTCATCAAAGTTATATATATCTTCTTGTAAGATTCCATACTCTAATATAACCTCTCGTACGCGATTAAAATATCCTTGGATTATCTTCGGATCTTCGCATTTGGCGCGCTCATAGCTATATTTCCGTGAGAAGTTTGATTCAATCTCTGGGCGACGTTTGACAAGATTGTATACCCAACTTTCTCCAACATATTGGTTTCCGCGTTGTAAAAGAAGATAATCAGCCATCTCTCGTACGAGAGAGTGTCGAGGAGGTAATCCACGTTTATCTAGATCTAAGATCCATCTAACAAGCGATTCCTCCTCACACTGAGTTAATTTATGACTGTTAGCGCGTACTTGAGATCTCTGCTGAGTGCCGTTTAATCTGTCTCGTAGAGTCGCCCGAGATATACTATAAATCCTTGCAGCTTGAGCCACGCGTAAGATTCGTCCATTTTGTAAATCAGAAATAGCTAATAAGATTCGTCCCTCTTGCTCAGCTAAATCTTTCTTATTTTTATTGCGAATTGGTGGCATGTTGGCGTGTTGAATAATATGGAATTAATATTGTGTACGCGTTCGGGAAAAAGTGGTGGTTCGCTTGTGGATTACGTTAGTACGGAGTAGAGACCGGCAGTATAATTGAAATTGATAGGTAGCTAATCCCTGTAGATATCCCTGTCGTCCCACCGTACTATGAAAATTGCCTGGGTAGACCATAGTAATAACAGACTAGGCCTCTGCGGTCTCCCGTAGCGGTTTGTATGGGGTGCACGGACGAAAAGTGTGAAATGTGTTGGATTAGCTAAGCTGATCCAGCCAATCAGAAAGATGAAATCCCTGAGCCAATCAGAGCGAGCCGCACACTTAAGAGAAGGATCCACCGAATAGGGTCTCCCACCTTTACTGTACCTAGAGGACAACAAGAATGACAACAAGGATCAAGGATGCTATGCATCTTTGCATACATAATTTGATACGTTGAGATATACCGCTAAAGATTGTTACGTACAATCCAGCAGAATGGATTCCACTCCCGCGAAACCCACGGTACTAGTAGATAATAGGAATTGTAGGCGTTCCTTTTGGGGATCAATCCAAGGGCCTTTTAATATTTCATCCAAGATCTGCTGTGCTAGAAAATGCGATGGTGACATCGCATATCGACACAGTTGGCAAATCTAGGTCTGGTAGTCCGGAACGTACTGGAACAGCTCCATCAATTAGAAATCGTAATTTAACTAATTACTTTGGGCTTGATAAATAATCAAAACGAGAGATAGAACTTGTATGAACTATCCTTGGATCTGTGATTGAGTTAGAACACTCTCTACATAACGCGTTCTGATTATCTTTGCTTTTTTCCTCATTGAATCTCCATCTACGCGACGCGTTCTTACATTTGCATCTTGGGCTTTCTTTGCTTCTTCTCTCTCTCTCTCTGTGAACGGGCGTCTTCCCTGTTTTGATTGGCAGGCGGAGAACACTCACATATATACGCCAACCTCGTCTAAGATCTACATAGTAAATCTAGGATCATCAAACCGAGTCTTTACACTTGTATGATATTGAGTGATGAGCTCATCATATCCTAGATAGCAGGACTTACCGAGTACCATCCAAGTAGGATCGAGGACATCGCTCCAACTTACGCCTACTTAGTGGCGTGATTGCGCCTCCAGATAAAATGGACGTCCACGGAGTCTTATACAGTATAAGGGAAAAAAACTCAGGCAACTTATGCGAAGTCAGCTTGTGGCATCTCAAGCTGTTACTACAACTCCGGCTGAGCCTGAGCTTCCAGCCTCTCAACTACTCATACAATGCCAATTAAAAAGTAAAGGTCATACACAGTCTACCACTGCTGTCAATCTCTCTGTAGCAATAATGTAGCCAATAATAGATGAGTTAGCCAGCTACCTTAGTAAGTCTTGCTTTTAGATGTGGTCCATGATACTCTGGCAGGAAGCAATCTCGCCACTTAAGTTCCTTGGGGCTGCAAAAGCACGTATCAGCTATTTATTTTGATTGTTGATTGCTTGGAACCTAGTAACCTACCTGGAGGGATCGATCTCAAGCTCAAATTTTCGAAAAACGTACGCGAAGCAGAGGTAAAGCTCTGCCCAGGCAAGGCTGTAGGGTTTCATTTAGCCAGTTGACATCAAGGTAGCATTTAATGAGACCACGTACTTGATACCAAGACAACTCCGTGGGCCCTTGGAAAAGGCTACAAGCCATTTATCGAGGTCTTTTCCCTCGTCACCCAACCACCTATCTGGGATGAACCCATGTGGATTAGGGAATATCGCTTCGTTGCGATGTACAAAGTGACCGCTCATTTCAACAATTGTCTGGAAGTCATGGATAATTAGTTAATTTTGTCCGCTTCGATACTACTTCGTGATTTCTTCTTACCCCTCCAGGCACGAAAACCTTGCCTATCCTTGCACCTGAAGCTGGTACAACACGTGGGAGAGGAGATGCAACGCCAGGGCTCATTCGGAGTGATTCCTTTAACACTGCAGTCTATGAATATACAAGTCAGTTGATGGACAAAGCGATGCCTCACTTTCAATCACCTGGGGTAGGATATGACGACGGGATTATACCAGATACGGAAGTTTTTGCAACTCGCAGAGATCTGGGGCATCCTCCAAAACTGGCCAAGCTGATATCAGCTCCTCTTTCAACCTTCGATATACAGTTGGCGCAGTCAATACGTAGAAAGAGCCGTGCATCAGTGTTGTTCCTGTTGTATCAGCGCCTCCGAAGAGAAGTGCTTGCGATTCCTCATATAGACTGTCTGCACTGGGAACAGTCTTACTACTGTATGCTTCAGGACGAAGTAGCTCGTGATATATAGTCGTTGAGTGAGGTAGATTCCGTAATCTTTCTGGGTTTTTGCTCAAGTCTTTTATTTGAGCTTTCAAAATCTGGGTTGAAAGTGGTCATGAAGTTATCTGGTAGATGATATGACGAACACAGATGTACCAACCTGTTGCAAATCAACAAGTCCCGAAGTAGCCGGACTGACGACCTTGGAAACATTTGGTGGGCAATTCATAATTGCCCCCTTTAGGAGTGATGAGTGCTTGAAACCGACAAACACAGGCAAAGAAGCATCCATGGCCTTGATTATTGGAGCTTCATAGCCGGGGGCCTCAATCGCATTGACGGTATTCCCGAAACAGAGATCTTCCAACCAAAGAGTTCGTCAGTAGATGATCCAGAGACAACATTGACAAGTGCTCACAGGTAATAACGTCAACAGACATGCACCGATATGCATAAAAGAGATCTGCTGGTCTGGGCCCTAGTTCCTCGAATGAATCGCACAATTGTACTACCTAGTGTCCCCTTAGTCACTAAAACTTGGAACATGCAATGTTTCAAGACCTGTCAAGTTTCTAACAGAAAGATATACCTTTTCCAAAACAAGGGCCTGAGCATCCGCAATAGCTTTTTGAGAAAACAACCTACTCAGGGCATTCTTTCTCTCCTTAGCTTCATCATATGTCAAAAAGCCGAATGAAGAACGATCCTCGCCGAAGCTATGATACAGAGTTTCTTCTTTATCCCATCTGTTTGATACATTGTATATCTCCAAGTACGCCGAAGGCGATTGAAAATGAATCTGTTGTAGTCACTCGGTCAAATCCAGGTCTATTCGTATAGTCAAGTGGCGTCTAGATAATAATGTACCTCATTAGGACCCACACGAACAACGTCTCCTACATAATCCAAGAGTGTGGCGTATTAGCAGACTTGCAGATAAATATTGCAAGAAATCGGAGTAGCAGTTATGTACCGTATTGAGCATGCAGCTTCTCCAGTGTATGTACAAAGGACGACTTGGATACAAGATCAATATACGCCTTGTAGAGGGTAGATATTGCCGCAATAGGAGGACCAGGAAATGCTGCTAATGGATGCCAAAAGATGTTGAAAACCGCGATATAGACCCAGTAGACAGCAATTCCACTCGGAATTAGCCAACAAAGGCTAGCAATGTCTAACTCGCCACTATCAAGCATAATGTGTGCCGCGAATTCTCATTTGTCGGTTGATTCCCATAACCCTATCCGGGCGAGAATGAAACAATGGATTGTGTACAAGGGAAATGTTGCAACTTATAACGTGCCTCATTCTGCTGCATCTGCACGGTGAATACCTACATTAGTGTAGCTTCGAACCACTCGTAATTTGGACTCGTTATCACAACTCATGAACCCCTGAGTGGAGGTAGCAATACAAACATATGTGAGCACGCACGCTTATTGGCAGCGGATAGGATGTTCCGTTCCCCCGATCCATGTCCGTATGAGATACCCACTTCGTCTCAAAGTCAATGATGTTAGCTTTTTTTTTGAGGATACCCGTCGCGTCGCCTCCCCCCACCCTGCGGTTGGGAGTTAGGGTTAGTGGGGGGAGGCGACACGACAAGTAGCTCTTAGATAGAGTTTATTCAATCCCCCACCCTCGGATTTGAATGTCATCGGTTTATTCTTGGATCGCAGATTCGCAACCTCGAATCGAGAGACTGGCCGACCCTTCCAACTGAGGCGGATAGCTCAGAGACTATATACCCCAGTCCGGCGAACAGCAAAGAGTGATCTTTTTCTTGAGTGACAAAGATGGTAGACGCACAGGACCAGATCTCACTAGTAAGTTTGATAGGAATCACAGGAGGCAAATTCGTCAGTGCTCCCCATTAAATGCCTAGCGGCTGAATAACGAAAATAGGATTCAGAAACAATGGACGATTCTGTTTATAGTAGGAGTATTGATTCGTGTGTATTCATCATATCGCTGCTTCTACTCGAGATCACTAACACATGATTCATACAAATCCAGAGACTTGACATCGCTTCGCAGTAGTGTTTTGAACTACCACTATGAGAATGGACGACGATACCATGCCTATCATCATGGCTCCTATTGGTATGCCATGGGTTCAGCAATTGGAACCCTTTACAGCGACTAATATTCTTTCTAGGGGCCCTAATGACGAGCGCGCAATGGATCATCTCGATCTAGGGTAGGGCCCTCCTACACGAAATGACCAACGGTTCATTTCCCCCAGTAATAACATGCTGCTCCAGTCATCATCTATATAGTCTTATGCTGCAAGGAGAGTTGTACTTGGTACCGATCTCAAAAAATCCCCAGGTGAGAATCAATTACAGTAGCAGGGCTGCTAAAGCCAGCTGATAACAATTGCAGAACGTCTTGGACGTCGGGACTGGAACGGCATCTGGGCAATGTCAGTACACTTACACCTTTCCCGCTTCGTATTGCGTATAGGTATCAGGCGATCTTATTTGATCTGCCTCTAGTGACTTCGCGAGCCTCCACCCATCAGCAAAAGTGATTGGGACTGATCTCTCGCCAATCCAACCCAGTCTAGTGCCACCAAATCTTCAATTTGAGATTGACGACTGTTGTGATGAATGGGTATATGCGGCTAATAGTTTCGACTTTATCCATGTGCGGGGCCTATATGGCTGCGTTGCTGATTGGGACAAGTTTTACAAAGAATCAATGAGGTAGGCTAGATCCACCCCTTCTAAAGGACGATTAAAAGTGTAAAAATATCGCTTCCCAAGGCTGACTGGTATGCGCAGACACCTAAAACCAGGGGGTTATATGGAGCAAGTGGAAATCTCTGTCGTACCCAAGTCCGAAGATGGTAGTGTCGACGGTACAATCTTTGAGAAATGGGGAGTAGTGTCCCTTCAGGCCGGGGATGCCTTCGGAAAGACTCTGAGAATAGTCGACGAGGCCAAGGATAGAATGATTGCGGCGGGATTTGTTGATGTCGTTGAGCGTCGTTTCAAGCTCCCCATCGGGCCATGGCCCAAGGACCGTCATCTGAAGGAGCTGGGGCTCTATAACAGGCTTTACTGGGAAGAAGGCATCCAAGGATGGACAATGATGCTTTTGACAAGCATCCTCAAGGCATGTATACCCTCATTTGACAAGCTATTCATGAAATTGGCTAACAATCAATATAGTGGAAACGAGAAGAAGTCGAATTGTATCTAATGGAAGTTAGACAGGGTTTACGGAACCCAAAATACCATGCCTATCATGACTGGTAAGATTGTATGTACACACTCCAGGTTCCATCCAAGTCTGACCATGATAGTACTGTTGTGTATGGACGAAAGGCACCTGAAATTCCGGAAGAGGAATGAGAAGAACAACAATAAGCTGATATCGAGATTCTTGCCGGTACTACTGTGTGGTAGTGATTCAGGATTTAGTACCATAGGTTATCCACAACTCCACTGGAATTTCCCATACAATTAAGGTTCATACTAAGCCTAAACTGGCAAAACCACCCTCCAGAGCTCAAGAGAATTCCCTCTGGAGTTCGAACATTCACAACCACTCTAATATGGAATGTAGGATACCAATTATCTTGGTATATACCAATAATCACATCGTATTTGACTGTGGAAACTATTTAATAGAGGCATATAACCAATTAATGAAGGACATTTTGCTAGAAATCCTTAGAGGTAAACCGACGTGCAGATAGTAGCTACGGCGGACTTTATCTAGCTAAAGAGCACTACCCGTGCCGCCTATAGCATACTAACAATCCATAATGCTTCAAAGGAGGCAGGGTTCCCTCCGACTTCTCTGCACGCTCATTGGTTACACGTCCAGGAAGGCTGTTATCATACCATAGTACGCATCTCGGTGATATAAATCTATGACGGTTAAAAAAGACTAATATCGGGTTTTTTCCTGATAGCCTTCTGCACGGGAACAACGTTGAGTATTGTCATTCAAAGATGAAAGGAATACTAGGACACACACAGGAAGATACCACCAGGAATACACTGGTATAAATTAGCATAAGCTTGCATTATCAGGATTTTCTTGGAAGAGAACAATTTTTTAAAGATAATTGTATCCCAAACCTGCCACCTGTTCCAAAACAATAACGTTTCTTCCGAGAATTGAAAATTAATAACAGATCCATTTATTCGCTTCAACCATTGCAGACCACTAAGTGCTCCCGTTGTCGGATTGCTAGGTTTAGTCCAGGCCAATCCTGAAGAGTATTCTACTAGGATGGAAAGAAAAAAAGCGACTAGCAAGATTGTATGTATTCAGTTGTCTGTCTGTCCCTCTGTCCCTCAAGTTTCCAAGCTGGGATTTTATAAACATCTTTGGCAGGGTGATTTGTGAGCTATCATGAGGGGTAAATAAACATTGGGCTGAAATCTAGGTGCCCTAAGGTGCCTTTTAGACCTGTAAAATCTAACAGCCGATCTCTCTGCTTCGTTTGAAATCCGGATTATCTGACACCTGTTTAGGGTCGCTTGGTAACGTAATCAACAAGCGAGTTGGCCACTTTTCCCGAAAACGCGCGCTCTATTGATTCTACATAATTCAACACGTCAATATGCCACCAATTCGCAATAAAAATTCAAAAAAATTCAGCTGAACAAGAGGGACGAATCTTGTTAGCTATTTCCGATTTGAAAAATGAAAAAATACACTCTATACGAAAAGCAGCAGAGATCTATAATGTTTTACGGTCAACACTTCAAAACAGACTACATGGCATGGCATATCGAGCTAACACCGCCAATGGCCATAAATTAACTCAGTGTGAGGAGGAATCGCTTGTTAGATGGATCTTAGATCTAGATAAACGTGGATTACCTCCTCGACACTCTCTCGTACGAGAGATGGCTGATTATCTTCTTTTACAACGCGGAAACCAATATGTTGGAGAAAATTGGGTATACAATCTTGTCAAACGTCGCCCAGAGATTGAATCAAACTTCTCACGGAAATATAGCTATGAGCGCGCCAAATGCGAAGATCCGAAGATAATCCAAGGATATTTTAATCGCGTACGAGAGGTTATATTAGAGTATGGAATCTTACAAGAAGATATATATAACTTTGATGAGACTGGCTTTGCAATGGAACTCTGCGCTACGCAAAGGTCATAACAAAAAGTGATCGATATGCTCGGCCAAAGCTATTACAGCCTGGTAATCGAGAATGGGTAACTGCAATTGAGGCAGTTAATTCAATTGGATGGGTGTTGGTTTGTGGGAGCAATCGAGATGCCTCACTCCGACGCACTGAGCCGCAGGGCGTCACGTGACCTCGTCTAGGATAGAGGGATGTAAGACCGCGTCGGGGCGTGAGTTAGATAGCTACAATCACACACATTTTGAACCCATACAGAATTGCAGTACCTGCTAACCATTCATGTACGTATGTACATTGATGTGTACACGTGCTTTATGCACCCACACTGATCAGTCTTGGTTGCAATATCAAGACAGATTGGCAAGGTCCTAGGTTCTTTCTTGTAATCACTTGTGGTTATAAAGAACCTAGTTCCAGGCTTCATTGACTACATTATAAATCAAGTGGAAAAGGGAGATTCTGCAGTGTCATATCTCTAACAAACTGAATCTTTGCTACAAGACTTTCCCCCCTAAGAGATAATCTTAGGCAGTCTATGTTAGGAATAGGTTAATTCTACAGCGTCAATATTCCATAATACCACCCTATCACGAGACCACGTTGTTGACACGTTCAAAAGTCAACACCAAACAATCAATCATCAAGATAACCGAGTTAACCCAATAAGGAAATCACCAAGATTAGTGAGAATAATAGCTTCCTAAACCCTTGATAATTCAAGACAACCACTGCTAAGCAATGACCCTAAAGTCTTTAGATCTGCTACTAGCCATTGAAGTGAAGCTGAGTCAGAACCTACTAGAATTCCTAATGACAACTTTATAACAGAGACTAGATTTAACACTGTCACCGGGCATAAGAAGATTGATCCAACCTTATGAGAAAAGGATGCTGGACCGGGGGACAGTATAGAAGCGTTAGTCAACTACACAATAAGAGCCATGTACGAGGCTGTCGTTAGTCATTACTTTGACCATGAACTATTCGAATGGCTTCATAATTACTTTAAAGAATGGACTCTGGTCGAATTCAATAAGCTTAACAGGACCACGAGAAGCAAGCTGAAAGACTTCCTTCAGATACGTGGTATTTATTTGGACTATAGAGGTAAGAAAAATATCTCAGAAGGATTAGTCAAATTGCTTCAGATGGATATTCCCCCAAGATGGCCAGATGACATGATCACCAGCAAGAAATTTAACTCAAGATCAAGGATAGCCTTAGGTCAACAAGCTCAGTTAACACTAAGGAGTGACACCACCCCGCCAGCTAAGAGAATTGAGAATTATAATAGGGATCACCTCATTAGATTGCCTTATTCTAACAAGGAAAAGGAAGAGATAACACTCAGGAGAGATCTAGAGAGAAGAATTAATAATAACCCTCTATAGCTGGAGACTCATGTCTGAGATCTTAATAGTTGTATACCCTTGACTGGTGCCAACGCAGTGCCGATAGGGACACTGGCCCCCAGTCCAATCAAGATATCTACCACACCACCTCCGCGTCCCTCTACGTCGTTGACATCTGCGAGGCAACTTGATGAGTACATGAGATTGCCGCCTACAGAGTATGAACAAGAGGATATTGACCCATCGTTGGCCGCAAAGTTTTCCAAGGCATAGGATAAGGCAGAGAGTTATTCAGGAGAACAATATGATATCCTAGACGATAAAGTCCTTGCTTTCCTAAGAGTTTGTTGATTGATTAGAGTACAATTAACGCAATGTTGGATACTCTTTCCCAAGATGCTTTCTGGGTATGTAAAAACCTACTACATGCACTATATTGGTTAAGATGCTTCATTTATAGATGCATACAAAGCTATAAAGACGTACTTTAACATAGATTCCAACCATTGGATGTACTACTAGGACTGGACGTCGACCACATTGAAAGGCGTTCTCCGTAATAACCCCAGCAAAATGCTTGTAGAAGTAGTAGAAATCCTTATTGAGAAACTTCACTTATGCTAATATGCTCTGGGAAATGCGTACAAGGGCCAGGAACATCTAGTTGCTGCTGTCACTAGAGCCTGTCAAGATTTGCCTGAGATGAGCGACGCTCTTAGTGATCCTGCAATGAATTTTGAGATGTTGGTATCAAGACTCCGTGCCAGGGCCGCTGTGGTCCAAGGAAAGGAGTTAGCTAGTCAATATCTAACCCAAGTTAAAGCCAACTCAGCTCCCAATAGGATAGAAGAAGACAATCCGATGACACTGTACATAGATAGAAAGTTCTTAGGCCGCACAAACTAGAATAATCGACAAACCCCACGTCAAGGATATCGACGCCAGGGACGTGATAATCATAATTCCCGCCAATAAGGTAATAGGAAGTGTTAGATCTGCCATAGGTCTAATTGCTGCTCATTTAAACACTCCAACAAGGAGCGCTGCAGAGCGAGAGAGCAGTTTAATGATTATCAACGTATAGATAGTAGATGCTCCACTTCTGACCGCACATATCACGCCTTTGTCATGGACTTTGAAAAGGGCTATATAATTGAGTCAGATAGTGAGGAGAATAACATTGAAGAAGAAGACAACATTGAGGACGATGCTACTGTGTATTTTATAATTAACAAACTGCAAGATCATTCCTTTATCCATTGGATAAGTGGATACCACGACGATATCGATCAGGAAGGATTCCACCACAAATTGGAGGTAAGAGAGCTTGATCAATCAGAGCGCAAGGATGGCCTCCTAGAACCTACTTCTCAATTTGTACTTGAACACCATGAAGGCAAGATTTTCCAAGGAATTCTTCCAGATACTGGAGCAGCAAAGGTATCAACTGTTGGCCGACGTCAACTTGCTGCCTTGCAGAGAAGCTATCTAGAGATTACCGTCAATAGGACCCGTGTAGGAGAGTACTTAATTCGATTTGGCTAAGGTGAGAGTGTTCACTCTGAGGGTGCTGTTACTATAACAACCCCAATTAGTGATATTGATTTTTATATTATAAATATGCCAACCCCATTCTTGCTTTGCTTAGATGATATAGATAAACATAGCGCTTACCTAGATAACATTACGAACTGCATGATAAAGGGAGACGTATGGGTCCTAATTATTAGAAAGCAAGGCCACCCATGGTTTTTCCTTGATAAGAAGCAGGCGCTAGTAACATTTCTCACAGAGATTGAGATAAGACGACTTCACTATTGGTTTGGCCATCCTGCGGTTAACTACTTGCACAAGCTTTTAAAACGAGCAGGCCATAATGATATAGATTACAACAATCTTGCAGAAATTGAGAAGTTTTACCATCACTGCTAAATGAACTAGCAGGCACCACGATGCTTTAAATTTACATTGAATAACGATTGTGAGTTTAACTATGAGATTGTCGTTGATATTATATATTTAGATAGCAAGCTGGTGCTTCATGTTGTCGATTAGGCGACGTCCTTCTAGGCCGCATGATTTTTAAAGTCTTTATCTGCAAAAGATACATGGGAAGCGCTCTAGGTAGTATGGATTGACACCTATCTTGGCCCTCCTAATGTTATTTTACACGATGCAGGAACTAATTTTGCTATATTAGAATTTAAAACTGAGGCTAAGATAATAGGAATCCAATGTTACCAAGTGCCAGTGGAAGCACACAATGTAATCAGGAAAGTTAAGCGTTACTATACACCACTGTGTAGAATATACAACATTATATTGGCAGAACTAGGCGCCAGTGTCGACAAGGACGTGATCCTCTAGATGGCTATTAAAGCCATTAATAATACTGTGGGACCAGATAGGATAGTTCTAACTGTACTCATTTTTAGTGCTTACCCGCGCATAACAACTGACTCGCCCCCATCCGCGTTAACTGCTCGACGTGCTAAGATAATGAGAAAGGTAATAGCCGAATTGAGACGTGCCATGACAGAGCGACAAGTTAATGATACACTTAACACTAGGAATAGCCCAATTATCATGGAAATGCTTAATCTCGCACTAGAGAGTAAAGTTAAAGTATAGCGCGAAGGAGATGGTTGATCAGGACTGTACAAAGTTATATCAGTCAATGGCCATGACGTGACTGTAGATCTTAGAAATGGTGCTGTTATATTTAGGGTGACGTCAGTACAGCAGTATTTATGTGATAGCAAGGATGAGAGTGATCGCCTGATTAGATTGCCTCTCTCTCCCCCCCAAGAGGATCTCAATCGCCAGGACGGTCGGTCCTAAGTCGACTTCGACCAGACTCCGAGGACTAGAGCAAGGGTAAGACTGCAAGACCATCCTGCAAATCCAAATCACCATGTTGAGACTGGGGGAGTCCATGCACCGCAGACCCCCAAGATGCCTGCGTTGCCACGCCGCTGAGGACGACCATGTAATTCTAAAAATAAACCAAAAGTGTACGCCAAAGTGTTCATATCCAAAAAGGAGAGGGACGACCTTGAACTTGCTGTCAAGCTGCAGCATAAAGACAAGATTGCTACCAATAGCGCGCTATTTAAATTATCAAGAAAAACAGAGATCGACAGCTTAATAGCAAATAGGACCTTCAAGATCCTTCACCATGCCGATATGGACCTGCGTGGCATCAGAATTTTCAATTCCCACCTTATCAACAAGATAAAGGGCAAGAATGAGATTCCCTATGAGAAATCTTAACTTATTATATAAGGATATAATAATGCTAGGAAGGATAAGATCTTGACCTAGGCACCCACGATCCAGCGTGCAAGCTAACGCTTATTAGTGTTGCTTATCCCCACACTCATTGAGATAGGAATGGTCGTTAAGATCTGGGATATCACGCAAGTATACACACAGGTGAAGACCAAGCTCGAGCGTCTGATTATCGCCAATCTTCCCATTGAAATGCAGGATAAATATCTACTAGATTTACTCCTATTAGTTGAAGGCCCGCTATATGGGATCCCTGAGGCAGGTGTTCATTGGTTTAGAACATACCAGGCGTACCATCTTAATAAATTGAACATGGAAACCTCGACATACGACCCATGCCTTCTTATCTCAAAGCTAGGAGATAACGAATTTGGACTTATGGGAATGTAAATAGATGATACACTTCTTATCTATATAGAAAAGTTCTCTAGAGGTGAACAAGCCGCGTTGCAAGAGGCAAGCTTTAAAGCAAAGCTAAAAACACGACTCTCGGAGACCAAGCCTCTAGAATTCAATAGTGCAAGAATTACCCTGCAGAATGGCATTGTTAATTTACAACAGAAAGGGCAAGCAGCGAAGATCTAATCAGTGGGTATGGAAGAACACACACAGAAGTATATCAAATAACGCGCACAGGGAGCCTATCTAGCTTCAATCTACCAACCTGAAGCTGCGTATGACTTGGCCGTGGCCGCTCAGCTGCAAGAGAAGGATCGCTCCAATTCTAATTATGAGGCGTTGAATAAACGTCTCATATGGTAGGCCCAGAATCCAGAGAGAGGGCTCCATTATGTGCCTCTCAACCTCACCAAAACCAGGATTATAGTTTTTACTGATGGATCCTTTGCCAATAACCGGGATTTGACTTCCCAAATCGGATTCCTGATTACCATGGTCAACAAAGACTTCTCGCAGCAAGGCCGCTTCGTCGCCACTGGCAACATCTTGCATTGGCAATCAGCAAAGTGTAAACGCGTTACACGGAGTGTACTAGCCTCTGAGGTCTATGGCCTTACAGCTAGATTTGACCATGCGTTCACTATTGCCAGTAGAGCTCCGAAATGAATAAATGAATATGATTATTGACCATATTCATATTCATGACTTATGAATATGATTAAAATGAATATTATTCATATGAATACGGACCATATTCATATTCATATTCATATTTATGAATATTTCTGGGTGGACTATTTTTCCGCGCTGGCAAACAGCCGTGCCCTATATAGATACATATTAACTGCCACAGAATCAGCAAATTTGATGCGAGCTTCTTCAGTTTATCTTATATTAGCCATAAGGGTACTAATCACTCTTAAGTATAAATATAGTACTAGTAGTATGAGGTCCTTTTCTTAAAATAACAAGAATCTTGGCTCAAGGAGAAGATATATATATGAAGTTCTCAAGTTCAATTATTAATTCAGTGCATATGTTGGATGCGAGGATGCAGTCGAGATCTGGATAACTGACATCACGTGATTTCAATCACGTGATGAAGGCTACATATTGGAATCTTTTGGTACTAGTCCGAACGGGGTTAGGCTCTGATAGGAGTTGTACAATTTGGGTGAGGAATAATTGACTCTGATTTGCACGTCTTCTAAAATATAGCTAACTACACATCTTGATCCTCTTTATATACACATCATAGTGGCAAAGTATCACGGATTTACGGGATAAATGACCATCCTGACTCCAAACTGTAGGCTTGAGTTTGGCTCTCATGTTCTCACGGATATGTCGTTATTCCGAGGAATCATGATTAGTAATGACATCCTGATTGGGATTAGCGTATCAAATATCCAACACTACACCAGGAATCCCTTACGCGTCGGGGTCAAAGATAGAAAAGACAGACAACGTAAGACTACTCAATTGAACCCATATTCCACATTAGGAATCCTATCGTACTAGTACTAGTGCAAATGCACCCACACTGATCAGTCTTGGTTGCAGAACTAAGACAGATTGGCAAGGTATCAGACCCCTGCGCTGTAGCCACCTGTGGTTATAGGTAGTAAGGCCTGACTCCAGGATTTGTGTTGTCTCATCGCGAGGAACCGAATCCACGTGGAAGAGACGGACTTTGCAGCGTCACCTGTGACAAACTAAGTCTATGCTAAAAGCCTCTCTCCTCTCAGAGCGAGACCTAGAGAGACTGTATTTGGGACAGTTCGTCAAAACGCCGACATTCCATAATACCGCCCTATCGCGAGACCACGTTGTTGACGCGTTCGAAAGTTAACAACACACCAAACTGACAAGAAGAGACACCCTGTTGGTCAGTTCTTTGAAATCAACAAGCACCAATGTCTCATCCGAATCATCAAGACCAAGAAAATCCAGATGAGAATCAGTCACTCAACAGTTATCAGACTAGCCCCGCTATGGAGCTGCCAGACGACAAATTCATGACGGAGATTAGATTTAATAATCAAGCTGGTAAAGATTGAGTCAACATGGCGAATTGGCTCTACGACGCCGTGCCCAGTGACGACGAGAAGAAGTTATCCATGTATATGATTTGGGTCATGTATGAGGCTGCAAGTGGCCTCCAGGTCGACTTTGAGATGTTCTAATGGTTCCATGACTTCTTTGAGGATTAGAAGATTGAGGACTTTAACTATCTAGATAAGACAACAAGAACCAAGTTGAAGGACTTCCTTTTATGGCGTGGCGTGTACGTTAACCACATGAATAGGAAGACCATCCCAATAGCATTGATAGAATTATTGGAGATGGAAGACCCTTTTGAATAGCCTGAGAAGGCTCTACAAAAGAGGACTTTCCACCCTTGGTCGAAGATAGTCTCAGGACACTATGAACAGATAGCAACTACCTATATCAAGGAGTCAAGGATTGTCAATGATACCCATATGGTGCCATCTATTGAGGAAGAAGACGAGGGTATTCATAAAGAAATACCTTCTAAGGGGCCAAATCAGGTGATTCAAGACCATGTTCAATCATCATTAAGATTAGTACAAGACATCTCAAGATTTACGCCTAAAACAGGTGCAAATACAATACCAGTCATGACACCAAGTCATAGCCAAGTCAAGATGTCCGCAATACCTACCTCTTCAGTGCCACTCCAAGCAAGATCCTTGGATCCGTACAGCAAGGTGCCACCCGACGAATATGGACGTCAACCTGTTGATTCTTAGTTGGCCATGAAGTTCACCAAAGCATGGGATAAGACGAAGAATTATTTAGGAGATCTTTATGATATCCTAGATAATAAAGTTCGAATCTTCTTACGACTATGCCGATTAATAGAGATCCAGTTGAGTCAATGCTGGGCCGTCTTTCCCGAGATGCTTTCTGGCAGAGCAGAAACTTATTACATGCACCACGTCAATCCTGATGCATCATTTGCATAGATGTATTGGGCAATAAAGAGCTACTTTGACATGGAGTTAAATCACGCTCTCTACTACCAGGATTGGATGTCGATCACCCTAGTCGACGTACGTCGTGAGAACACAGGGAAGACACTGCCAGAAGTAGTAGAAATCTTAGTAGAAAAACTGCATCTATGCCAACGTGCGTTGGGACCGCATTATATGTCCCCTAAACATCTTGTATTAGCCATCATAAGAGCATGTTAAGGATCACTAGAAATGAGCGAGGTTCTCAGTAAACTAACGACAAAGTTTGAAACACTGGTATCACGACTTCGTGCAAAAGCTGCTATTATGCAAAAGAAGAAAGCAGCTAGTTAATATCTTGCTAAATCTAATAACATGCCATCAACACACTTTACTGACAGGAAGTACATTGGAAAAACCAGTTGAGGGAATCGCCCGCCACCTCAGAGATCATAGCAACGTCAAAACCGTCAAGATAATGGCTCTCGACAACGAAGTGACGGCCAATGTTGGGTATGTAATAAACCAGATTGTCGATCTTACAACCACTCAGAGAAGGAATGAAGTGAGGTGAGGGAGCGATTTAACAGGTATCGCCACGCTGAGGGCAAAGCCAATGCCTCGGATAAGACATATCGCGCGTTTCTAATGGACTTCGAAGCCGGTTATAATATCACATTGGATAGCGAGGACGAGGAAGAAACCAACAATAATGACAAGGATGAAGTAACAGCGTACTTTATGGTTGGATAACTGCAAGATCAGGCGTTCTTACACTGGATAACAGGTGAGGAGACTGAGCAAGATAACCCCTCTACCATTGCTTCTCAGTTCGTGATAGACCAACATGACAGTAAGATTTTCCATGGAATCTTACCCGACACGGGAGCAGCGAGAGTATTAATGGTTGGAAGACGTCAACTCACCGCTTTACAAAAGATCTATCCAGGGATCATGGTCGACAAATCTCGTGCAGGAGAGCACTCAATTCGATTTGGTCAAGGGGATAGCGTTGACTCTGAGGGAGCTGTTACTATCAAGACCCCAATTGGCAATATTGATTTCCATGTTATGAATACACCGACCCCATTCTTACTTTGTATTACTGATATGGATCGCCATGAAGCTTATCTTGACAACACCACCAACTGCTTGGTTAAGGGAGATTTGAGAGTGCCAATTGTCCAGAAATAGGGATACCCTTGGTTCTTTCTGGATGATAGTCATACACCAGTAACGTTCTTGACGGAAGTAGAAATGAGACGTCTTCATTGATGATTTGGTCATCTAAGTGTTGACCGATTGCATAAACTCTTGGAGCAAGCTGGTCATGACAATGTTGACCACAAATCCCTTGCTGAGATTAAGAAGTATTATTACTACTGCTAGATGAATCAGCAGGCACCCCGCCGGTTCAAGTTTACATTGACTGACGACTGTGAGTTCAATTATGAGATTGTCGTTGATATTATGTATCTCGATGGAAAGCTGGTGCTTCACGTTGTAGATTGGGCAACTTCCTTCCAGGCAGCGAGATTCTTAAAATCTCTCTCAGCAAAGGATACTTGGGAAGCACTCAGGACGGCATGGATTGACACTTACCTTGGTCCACTGGACGTCATATCTCATGATGCCGGGACGAATTTTGCATTGAACGAATTCAAAATGGAAGCCAGGATGATGGGGATTACATGCCACCAGGTACCAGTGGAAGCACATTCCAGCATTGGTAAAGTCGAGCGGTATCACGCACCACTACATAGAGCATTCAATATTATCTCTACAGAACTTAGCACTAGTGTTGACAAGGATATAGTTCTCCAAATGGCAGTTAAGGCTGTTAACAATACTATGGGACCAGATGGAATTGTGCTAACCGTGTTGGTTTTTAGGGCATATCCGCGGATGATATTAGATTCACCGCCATCTGCGTTGACAATTAGACATGCCCAGATAACAAGAAAGGCAATAGCCAAATTAAGAAAGGCCGTGGCCGAGAGGAGAGTCAATAACGCCCTAAACACTAGGAATGGCCTAATAATTACAGAGACACTTAAACTCTCTCCAGGGGCCAATGTTAAAGTTTGATGAGAAGGCAAGGGTTGGATAGGCCCACATAAACTTATCTTAGTAAACAGCTATGATGTGACAGTTGATCTTGGTAATGGTGCTGTCGCTTTCCGGGCAATGTCAGTCCAGCAGTATCTTCAAGATCAAAGAGAGACAGATGATGGAATCCACATCCCTAAACCACCCGTGACACCTCCACCTCCACGACGTTGAGGATGACCACAAGGATCCAAGAACAAGCAAAAAGCGGATGTCAACGTATACCTATCAAAGAAAGAGAAGGATGACCTTGAACTCGCACTCAAATTAAGACGAGAAGGAAAGATCGTGACAGAAGGTGCCCTATTCGAACTTTCAAGTGTTGCAGAGATCGATGGTCTGATTGCAAACGGGACGTTCAAAATCGTCCACCAAGATAATGTGAACCTCAGGGATCTCTGCATATTCAACTCCCGCTTAGTTAATGAGATCAAGGGGAAGAATGAGATCCCATATGAGAAATCACGCCTAGTCATCCAAGGATATAATGATGCTGGGAAAGCTGGGATCCTAACCCAAGCGCTAACAATTCAACGAGCTAGCCAGAGGCTGTTGATATCCCTTATCCCCACTTTGCTGAGTATGGATATGGTTGTGGAGATCCGTGATATCACACAAGCGTACACACAGGCCAAGACGAAGTTGTAATGTATTATTGTTACTAACCTGCCCAAAGAAATGAGGAGTAAATATTCATCAGACTCACTACTATTGGTAGAAGGAGCTTTGTATAGCATTCCCGAAGCTGGCGTCCATTGGTTTGGCACCTACCATGAGCATTATAAGGTGAAAATAGATATGGAGACTTCTATGTACAATCCATGTCTACTCGTGACAAAACCAGGCGCTAAGAGCTTTGGCCTAATGAGCATGCAGACTGATGATACACTCATCATCATAACAGAAAAGTTTGCCAGAGGTGAGGAGCAAGCACTACAGGAAGCAGGATTCAAAGCCAAACCTAAAACCCAATTGTCGTAGGATACTCCTTTGGAATTTAATGGCGCAAGGATTATTTTAGAGCAGGATAATGTCTTTATGCGGTAAAAAGGACAAGCGGCAAAAATAGAGCCAGTTGGAACAACAGATCACGCGCAAAAGTACATTGAGTAACAGGCATGAGGGGCTTACCTCGCATCTATCTGCCAACCAGAGGCTTCTTATGATCTCGCCATTGCGGCCCAGCTGCAGGAGAAGGATCAATCCGAAGACAACTATTTGGCATTGAATAAATACCTTATATGGCAAGCTGAGAATCCCGAACGAGGTCTTAGATTCATCCCCCTTGATTTAACAAAGGCAAAGATCATGATCTTTATAGATGGATCCTTCACGAATAACCGAGATTTGACTTCCCAGATTGGTTTTCTAATCGCTATGGTCAACGAAGACTTTTCTGAGGAAGGACGCTTTATTGCCACTGGTAACATAATCCATTAGGCTTCGTCAAAGTGCAAGCGTGTAACCCGGAGCGTTCTCGCCTCGGAGATCTATGGGTTAACAACTGGATTTGACCATAGAATTACATTGGCAAGTACCATCAAGATGATCACGGACCGCCTCAATTTACCTATAATCCCAGTTGTGGTTTGCACCGATAGCTACTCGCTATATGAGTGCCTCGTCAAGTTAGGAACCACAAAGGAAAAGCGCCTCATGATCAACCTTATGGCACTCCGTCAGTCATACGAGAAATGGGAAATAGATGAAATCTGCTGGATCCATGGAGACGATAATCCCGTGGATGCTTTTACAAAGGCGAACCCAAATAAGGCTCTATGGGACTTCATTGACAAGAATAAGTTGACGATTTGTGTGGAAGGATTTGTGGAAAGGACCAAGTAGGATTAGGACAAGGTTGACGATTGTTGACAGGGAGCCTGATTATTGGGATTTGCATGCTTTTATGAGAGTTGGGAGCTCGACTGCAATTCCATTTGTAAAAGAGATCCAGTGTTGGATGCGAGGATGCAGTCGAGATCTGGATAACTGACATCACGTGATTTCAATCACGTGATGAAGGCTACACCAGGAATCCCTTACGCGTCGGGGTCAAAGATAGAAAAGACAGACAACGTAAGACTACTCAATTGAACCCATATTCCACGTTAGGAATCCTATCGTACTAGTACTAGTGCAAATGCACCCACAGCATAGCCTATATAATCATGGTGTGTAGTTTAGATAGAGCATTCTAGGAAATGCTTTCTTACTTTGCAAGCAGCAAGTCTACTTGAAATTCTCTAGAATGATTCCTCCACTCATTTATCACATATAACATATATGACTAGCACTATTACATTTCATGTATTTAACTTTAACATAATGTTTACTGTTGGTTTAACTACGGTCCGTATCACGAAGCATAGACGGTAGTAAGGCGCGAACACGAAGCGGCCTAATGAGCCTGACAATATGAAGATATCTTGATTCCTAATATTGTGACTTGTCCCCAAGAACGAGGGGGACGGGGATAGCTAGCTAGATATACGCGGCACGCACGTGCCGCGTCAGACTAACTATATCCGGTGCCAAAACGTGTAGGGTTTGATATTCACGTTCCGACACTGGCAACTCTCTAAAAATAGGAAAAATAACGAGCAGCACCGGGTTGATAAAACAAACGGATTGGTGTAGGGAATGGTGCAGTAAACAATACATAAATGCTTTCTGTACATGCGGGAAGAATGAAGCAAAAGAAAATGTGGTTAGACACGAGGATTCGGGACATTATTGGGGATTTGCGAATGCCACCGAATTTGCTTTGATCGCGCGATTTTGCGGTGTCGTGGTAGACCTTTCTACCCAGCCGTCGACAGTGATATGTAGCTTATTCGTATCAACAAGGATCTGCAAAGCGTTGCATGCTTTGTTCTTTGTCATGGCGTCGGCAGGGTTGCTATTGCCATCTATCCATTTGACTTCCGTAATCTCTTGACGTTTGTATGACTGGTGGAGACACATGAGATTGATCATGAGTCGTTTTTCTTGTGTCGTACCAAGTTTCACAAGGCAGTCATATAAGCTCTTTGAATCGGTGCAGATCACTAGCGGGAGCGGATTCTCGAGGTGTAGAATCTGCGTAACTGTTGCTTTGATAGAGGCAGCGAAATCAAAGCCGTTGACCATAGCGTATAGCTCTGAGGCTAGTACGCTACGTGTTATCCGCTTGCACTTGACCGAGGACCAGTGTACAATATTCGCGTTGTTCGAGGCGTCGGCAAGTACAATAACGAATCCGATTTGTGACGAGAGGTCTTTATTATTAGCGAATGCCGCGTCAACAAAGGCGTATAGTTTGATGGTGTTGATGTTAAGTTTGACAAACTTTAAGCCGCGGTATGGGTTGTCAATTTGCCATTGCAGGCGCTTGTTGAGGTATTTGATATCCTCTTTCTGCGGATTAGTGCTCTGTGCTGCGAAGGCATAATCAAATGTGGCTTCCGGTTGCGTTAAGGAAGCAATATAGGCACCAAGCGCTCGTTGAGATACGTATTGTTCTTTTGGTGATGCGTTCTTGCGGATCTTTCCCCGGGAGCTTGTCATATTGGCGTGTTGCTCTTGCACGATTTGTATAAGCTTGCAGGTTCGTTCTTGGCTAAGCATAATACCCTGGGCCGTCTCCGAGATGAGGCCACTGTTGAATTTCAGTGGGTTTGTAGGCGAGAGTCGTTCGCGAGGTTTGCACTGTATCTTGGCAGCCTTAATTTTCTTCTCTTCGCGGTTAGCGAAGGCGTTGTCGGCGAGGATAAGAGTATCATCAGTCTGCATGCCAACGATGCCAAAGCCATTGCTAGGGTCAATACAATGTAGGAGACACGGGTCGTAGGTTGACGTCTCTATTTGTAGTTTCTCTGTATGATGGCTATGGTAGGTGTTGAACCAATGATTGCCTGATTCAGGGATCCCATATAGAGGCTTGACGACTTTTAACAGTGTGCCTGGTGAAAGGAGGATGGCGAGTTCTAGTGGCGGTCGTACGAAGATATCACGGTTAAGATATGTTTGCGAATGAATATACGCTTGAACAACGTCTCGTAGCCATAGGGAGTGAGTAACCATACAGGCAGTCAGGCATAGAATCAGGCGCTGACTGCAGCGTTGTATAGTTGGTGATTCAGTCAATATGAAGTCCTTCCCTTCGTCATTGTAAGCCTGCACAACAAGTCGCGATTTTTCAAAGGCCTTGTCGGTGCCAGAATTCTTCATCTCATCCACAAATCGTGAGTTGAAAATACGTTCACCTTTGGGAACTTCATTCTCATGCACGAAGTGGAAGACACCTCTCTCCAATAGGCCATCCACCTCTTGCTTGCGTGAGTCAGTAAATCTTGTTTGTTCCAATACCTCGTCAAAGTCAGCTCGAGGTTGAGTAATCTCCTTATTGTTGATGTATGCTTCGAAATCGTCATCTCGGTATCGAGCGGATGGTTGACGGTGCGCTGCGGTCGTTGAGAGGG